TCACCATGTCATTCCACTTATTCTTAGGATAATCATTTCAAGAGCAGAACGTCTTTTGTTTTGAGTGGGACAGGGCCTCACTCTGTGACCCAGACTGGAGGGCAGTGGTACAATCAGGGCTCACTGCAGCCTCAACCTCCCCGGGCTCCGGTCATCCTCCTACCTCAGCCTCTTGAGTAGCTGGGACTCCAGGCACACACCACCATGCCTGGCTAATTTTAGTATTTTTTTTTTTGGTAGAGACAGGGTTTTACCAGGTTCTCCAGGCTGTTCTCAAACTTGCCCAGGATTGCTCAAGCAATCCTCCTGCCTCAGCCTCCAGAAGTGCTGGGATTACAGGCATGAGCCACCAGGCCAGGCACAAAACATTTAATAGTATGGTTTTCTACAGAGAAATATATACATTCTATTTACATATGTCTATACATTTTATAATGGCAAGGAGAGTTTGGGCATATCTGAAAGATATATGACAAAATAATATATATCGTATTTAGTAACATAATATAAATTATATATAATATAAATATAATAAAAATACGTTTCTTTTAGATATGCCAAAATTCTCTCTGCCACTGTAGAAGCAGAAATACTATATTATTAACTACGTCAGCTCAAGTTCCCATGGATAGGTGTTTCAATCAGCTGGGGTATATACTTGGAAAAAGGAAAAGGCTCTAATGAGTTATGATATCCACAATATGTGATCACTTAATATGCTGGTTTCTTGGGTTAAAAAACCAAGTTAATTGTGATCTGGTAGATAAGTTTGAAATATCTTGGCTACAACTAAAAAAGACACATATAAACCATTGACATCTAGACATTTCAGCAGCTGGAGGGAATGCCAGAATTATTCCTAAATCTAGAGTTTTAGTGACAAAGCAAGATATGCCTGGAGGAGTTGCATGGCCAAAATTATCTCTGCCATTTCCACCAAATGTTTCTGCAGAGCATTTAAAATGGTGTCTGCAGGAGGAAGTCAGCCATTTCTTAAAGAGGCATTTCCTGCTTGCGAGACTCACGGGATACAGCACTTGCTCGTGATTATGGGGTGTCTAGGCGGAGTTCCATCAGCAGTGAAGGAATCCGGGACGCCTGGCCTGGTCCTGATTCCATTCCACTCCACAGCCCAACGTTTTTCATAAAAATACCTGTGGTGGCCAGCCTCCAAGATGGCGCCCCTGTCTCCTGCTGTTCACAGCCCACACCCCACGTTCCAGGGTTGGTCTGTGCCACCAACAGCAATGGTAGGGCACGTCTACGATTAGGTTGTAAAAGAGTACAGATTGGGCACAGTGGCTCATGCCTGTAATCCCAGCTTTTTGGGAGGCTGAGCTGGGAGGATTGCTTGAGCCAAGGAATTCAAGACCAGCCTGGGTAACATGGCGAAACCTTGTCTCTACAAAAAAATCTAAAAATTGGCCAGGCCGGGAAGTTGAGGCTGCAGTGAGCTGTGATTGCACCATTGCATTCTGGCAAGGGCGACACAGTGTGACCCTGTATCAAAAACAAGGGTGAGTGAACTATAAAGGAAATAAAGGCGCTTTGCTTTCACAACACACACACCCCACACACACACCACAAAACACACACACCACACACACACCACACAACACACACACAACACACCACACACCGCACACGCACACCACACAACACACACACAACACATACACCACACACCACACACACCACACACACAACACACACCACACACAACACACACAACACAAAACACACACACCACACACACACACACAACACACCACACAACACACACAACACACACACACACACCACACAACACACACACAACACACACACAACACACACACACACACCACACCACACACACAACACACACACACACACCCCAGGCATGTTTTGTCAGGGAAGCTACATGAATCAACTCTTTATTATGATCTGGGGACTGGAATATAAGCACAGGCTTGTGGCCACAGGTGAGTCTGGAAAGACTGAGCCCAGATTCGCCTGGACAGCTAATGCCTGGAACACTCACGTGATAACCTCAACGAGCCACTGTGCCAACCATTACGTGTCTGAAGCAAGGTGGAATCCAAACTTAAGACCAGTCACCCATGGTCCACATTCTTGCAGCACAGTCTTTATTCCTGCAGGGCACACACGCTGACTTGCATGGTTGTCAGTTGTGGTGGCGTCTCTCCCCACACCTGAGCTCCTTATGCTCATCTGACACCAGGACCCTGGGTGCTCAGTGTTTGCTGGGCTCCAGGACTCATTTGAATGTCACCTCAGGTCATGGCAAAAGTCTCAGGTGCGCTGTGCAGCTAGAATTCAGATGGAAAGGGCCTTGAGGAGTGAATTGGAGCTTGAGCTTCCATCTCGTGCAGGAAGCTCTTCTTCTGCAGCATCCCCAGTGCAGGACCCTATGGCCCCTCCTGGAGCCTGTCTAGGGCAAGAACTCATGAAGTTCTGATTTAGTCCAGCGCATTTATTCACACACTTGACACCTATGTATTGCCTGCTTACCATGTGCCAGGCACTGTGCTAGACCCTGGGATATAGCAGCCTGTTAGGCAGACTGAACTGCTGTCACCTGTTAACCTCAGTCAGGTGTGGAACTTCATTACTGTGGCTCAATTGTGTCTCCCAACACTCATGTGTTGAAAATTTAATCCCCGGTGAAGCAGTGTTGAGAGGTGGGACTTTTAAGAGCTGATTAGGTCATGGGGACTCTGGCCTCACGAATGGATTAATGTCGTTTTTGTGGGAGGGGACTTAGTGGAGGGTGGGTTTGTTATCCAAGCAAGTTTGACTTGAATTCACCCTCTCTTGCTCTCCTACTGTATTAGCCCATTCTCACATTGCTATAAAGAACTACCTGAGACTGGGTAATTTTTAAAGAAAAGATATTTAATTGGCACATGGTTCCACAGAAAGTATGGCTGGGGAGGCCTCAGGAAGCTTATAATCATGGCAGGAGGTGAAGGGGAAGCTGACACGTCATATCGTGTATGGAATTGGTTCCTTCCAGTGGGTTCTTGGTCTCGCTGACTTCAAGAATGAAGCTGTGGATCTTCGCAGTGTTACAGCTCTTAAAGATGGTGTGTCTGGAGTTTATTCCTTGAGATGTGTCCAGAGTTTCTTCCTTCAGGTGGGTTCGTGGTCTCGCTGACTTCAAGAATGAAGCCACGGACCTTCACAGTGAGTGTTACAGCTCTTAAAGGTGGTGTGGACCCAAAGAGTGAGCAGCAGCAAGATTTATTGTGAAGAGCGAAAGAACAAAGCTTCCACAGCGTGGAAGGGGACCCAAGCAGGTTGCCACTGCTGGTTGGGGTGGCCAGCTTTTATTCCCTTATTTGTCCCCAGCCATGTCCTGCTGATTGGTCTACTTTACAGAGTGCTGATTGGTCCATTTTACAGAGTGCTGATTGGTGCATTTGCAATCTTTTAGCTAGACACAGAGCGCTGATTGGTGCATTTTTACGGAGTGCTTATTGGTGCATTTACAATCCTTAAGCTAGACAGAGAGCGCTGATTGGTGCGTTTTTAAAGAGTGCTGATTGGTGTGTTTACAATCCTTTAGCTAGACAGAAAAGTTCTCCAAGTCCCCACTCGACCTAGGAAGTCCAGCTGGCTTAACCTCTCACTATATGGCTGGAGCAAGAGGAAGAGAGTGAAGGGGGAGGTGCTACACACTTTCATACAACCAGAGCTTGTGAGAATTCACTCACTATCACAAGAACAGCAAGGAGGAAATCCACTCCCATGACCCAGTCACCTCCTGCCCGACCCCTCCTCCAACATTGAGGATTACAATTCAACATGAGATTTGGGTGAGGATGCAGATCCAAACCATATCATCCACCTTCTGCATGGGAGGACACAACCCTCACCAGATGCTGGTGCTGTGCTCTTGAACTTCCCAGCCTCCAGAACCATGAGCCAAATAAATTTCTGTTCATTATAAATTACCCCCATCTGTGGACAAGATGCTCATTACAAATGCTAAATTATGGAGAGGAACATCTTCTGTAGTTGAGGGAACTCCCAGCTTCCATGCTACGCTTCCTCGTGGCAGTGGAAGATAGATAGCCTCCCATTAGCCCATCACATTCCTGATCTTCACTTTAAAAAGTGGCAGGTCCTCAGGCCATCCACATCAGAACCTACAATGCCTAAGGCATTGGGAGCTGCCCACCCTTCCTCTAATGGAAGCCCCAAAGTGTCACAATCTGCAGAAACATTCAGGACATAAGAGACACACTGCTCTGTGTATGGATGTCAGGCCAGGTCTTTCCTGTTACTCAGGGATCTTCATGAGAACTTGCTGTGAGAAGCCAGTTTCAAAGTCCTCACTGACTGATTGTGCAGGCTTGGTTGCATTTCCCTATGAGCAGGGGCAGTCATATGCATTGGTTCTCAGCCTGCATTAGTTTTCTGTCACTGCCATTATAAATCACCACAGACTGAGCAGCTTAAAATGACACAAATTTAGTGTCTTACAATCCTGTAGATCAGGAGCCTTACACAGGTCTTGCAGGGTGTGAGCAGGGCTGTGCTTCTCCTGGAGGCTCTAGGAGAGAACTTGTTTCCTTGCCTTTTCCCGCTTCTAGAGGCCGCCTCCCTCCATCTACAAACCCAGCAGTATTGCAGTATCTGACCCTTCCTCTGTGGCCTGCTCTAACTATGGATGAAAAAGATCCTCTGTTTTTAAAGACTCCTGTGATTAGACTCAGCCCGCCTGATAATCCAAGAGAATCTCCCCAGCCCAAATCTGTGCCCTTTGTCTCGGTTGCAAGGTCCCTTTGTCATGTGAGGGGAACACATCAGGAGGTTCTGCAGAGGAAGGCATGTGCATCTTTGGGAGGATACTTCTGCCTGCCACACATGATTGTTTTCCCACCTCTCTCACTCATCTCTGCAGCTTCACTGCTCAGGTTTTACTCCAGAATCCCATTTACTCCCAAATCCAAATTCAGGAAGTTTCTAAAGGATCACTTTCCCTGCCTGGCATGGCCGCTCTGCCCCTGTATGTCCTGCGAGCCCATGCTGGTCTCCCTCCTCTTCTATCATCATTTCGTTGCCTCTTCAGGCTTCTGCCCCTGAAGTTCCCACCCTTTCCTCGTCCAATGATTGGCCAGATGCCAGAGCCGCTCACTGAGCTCAGTTTCGATGCCACTCACCTGGTGGTGTGTGTTTCACTGTGTTCTCCACTCCCAATGGCTCCATTGAGGCAATTCTTGCTTCCTGACATGTAATCATGGGTTTCAAGGCTGAGAACTTAAATTCACTCTCTCAACATAGCACAGGGCACATAAATCCTTAATATTCGCTTTACTTTTTGACTGACTAACCAAAAAAAATGATAAGAAGAGGACAAAAGGTGGGGGGTAGAGATTCTGAGGACCAGGAATCATGATGTATAGAGGCTGCCTTAATGTTTTTTCCTCATTCAGTCAATCAGTGCTTGTGGTTAATTTCAGTACATAAAATATTGGTTGATTATAAAATAATGCAAGTTAAATAACTTTTTTTTTTTTTTGAGACAGGGTCTCACTTTATCACAGAGACTGGAGTGCAGTGGCACAATCATGGCTCACTGCAGCCTCCACCTCCCAGGGCTCAAGTGATCCTCCCATCTCAGCCTCCCAAGTAGCTGGGACTACAGGCAGGGCACCATGCCTGGCTTTTTTTGTTTTTTTAAATAGAGATGGGGTCTCATTTTGTTGCCCAGGCTGGTCTCCAACTCTTGGGCTCAGGTGATCCGCCTGCCTTGGCCTCTCAAAGTGTTGGGATTACAGGTGTGAACCACTGTGCCCAGCCAGGAATTTTTAGTAAACATTAAAATTGAACATTAAAATCACCCATAGTCACACAAAGGGACCACTATTAGTTTCTAAAAATGTTTTCCTCCAGTCATAGCTTGCTCCTACCCACATGTGCCCTTTCTGTTTATACACAGAAAAAAAGTGGGCATTTATTTAACAGAAATAGAATTAGACCATTTCACGGGTGATTAATGAAACAAAGGGTGGAATAATGCATAAGAGAGTGATATTGCAAGAAATTTTAAAACTGAAAGTGTGTATTCTGCAAAGGGAAAAAGTTTTGAGAAAAAGTTGAATTATTTTTGAGTCCCTAGGATGACAATAGAAATGTGTGGTCAGGACGGGCACGGTGGCTCACGCCTGTAATCCCAACACTTTGGGAGGCCAAGGCGGGTGGATCCCCTGAGGTCAGGAGTTCAAGACCAGCCTGGCCAACATGGCGAAACCCCCTCTCTACTCAAAATACAAAAATAAGCCAGGCGTGGTGGCACACGCCTATAATCCCAGCAACTCGGGAGGCTGAGACAGGAGAATTGATTGAACCCAGGAGTCGGAGGTTGCAGTGAGCCAAGACAGTGCCATTGCACTTTAGCCTGGGTGATAGAGCAAGACTCCGTCTCAAATAACAAAAAAGAAAAAAAAAAAGAAAAAAAGAAAAGAAAAGAAAAAAGAAATGTGTGGTCAATGAGTCATTCAACTTTAGGGTACTTTGCAGCCTGATCATGACAGTTACTAAAACCCTAAGAGAAATAATCCAAATGAAGTGTGGAAACAAATTCGCCTAACATGCTGAGTTTGTGCAAACAATACTTACCTTCAGTTTAGTAACGTGGTCTACTTTGCAACAGTTTCTAAGAATTGTGAAGTATGGCTTTTTTTCTTCCTTTCCTCCCAGAAATTGCCCACATGATTCATGATTGCTTAGTGAGACAGTCCTCTGAGGAACGTCTTCATTTTACTCAGCCCTTCTGACATAGCGCTCCATAAAAAAGCAGGGACAACCTGTCCCTCTATAACAAATGGGGTAAGCACTGGCAGAGGTTCCTCTGATGCACACTGTTCTATTCATTTCCTTAGTTACAATACTTACATTGGTGCAAAAGTACTTGTGGTGTTTGCCATTAAAAGTGATGGCAAAAAACCGGAAATAATTTTGCACCAACTTAATAATTACCAGGAATAATTTCAGTTGCTGCAAAGCCATTGTGATAAAACAAGTTGTGATTTAAATTTTATAATGTGAAGTTCGGGTGCCATAATTTTGACAACTTTATATTGACACAGTATTATTAAATCAATAATAACAACAAATGTGTAACCTATAAATGAGAAACATTAAAAGAAATTCGACTGCTAAATAGTTTGATTCCATCACTCCCCTGCGCAAAGCTTTCCAAGTTCCCAGCTTACACAAAGGCCAAAGCTCTTAGGCAGCCTGTGAGGCTGGGTGTGATCGGCCTCCCTGACCCTGTCCGTTCTCCTAGCACTGGGTCCCTGGCTGCCTTGCTCCGGCCCACTGTCCCCCACCAGCGCCCCCCCAACTCCCCCACCACTCACCACTCTCCCCCAGCCTTCCCCCAACCAGTCCCCACCCCCCACCCCCACCACCCTACCCCCACCTCCCCAACAGCCCTCCCCCGCCCCTGTACCAGCCCCCACCGGCCCCCCACCCCCCCCCTCCCCCCCCCCCCGTCACCACTCCCACTGCCCCTCACGGCCATCAGGTGGGACTTCCCTGGATCGCTGGGAAGTCGCCGCCGCCGGGCCTTTGCACGGGCCGCACCCGCTGCGGATTCCCCTTCCCACAGATTCTGCGCGTTCGGCTGCTCCTGTTGTCCACGGTGCTCTCCTGGAGCCTGGGGTACCAGTCAGGGCCCTGTCCGGAGACAGAAACCCCCCGAGCTCTCACAGAGAGTAAGTTTGCTAACTAGCTAGAATGTGTTAACTGCGGGGCTGAACAAACAGCACTCCAAGCTGTCACCGAGGCAGTGCCGCAGGCAGCATCCCCGCTAGGATGAGGGAGCAGAGGGGAAAGGCGGGAATGACTGAAGCTCAGAAGCTGGAGGAGGGTCCCCGTGCCCGGGACGCAGAGCCTCTATGCAGGGGCCGCAGGCTCCGGGACGGGGGCATCAGGCTTGTCCTCTGAGCGTGGGGAAAAGCGCAGTCTGGATTCAGGCGCAGCCACAGGGAGGCCAGGGTGAAGAGGTGCTGGGCGGGGTTGCTGAGACCCCCAGGTGGACGGGAAGCCTCCTGGGAAGCACACGGGCTACGGCCGCTCCCTCCTCCCGCCGCCCCCCTGCAGCTGCTCTCTCACGCCCCCCACGGGCCATGGTAACACCGAGTCAGCTGAGCTCGGCAGGGTCCAGGCAACCGGAGGTTGAGGACGGAAGACAACACCTTCATGCTGGTCACCTAGGATCTCTCTCCTCTTTCCCTGCTTTATTTGTCTTCGAATGCATACGAGACACACTCATGGTCTGTCTCCCATTGCTGGAATGCAAGTTCCCTAGGGGCAGGGATCCCGGCTGTTTCATCCCAGTGTCTGCAGCACCTAGAGCCACGCCTGGCGCAGTTCCATGCATGTTTGCCGAATAAATTACTACATCAATGTAACTGCATCGACACATCAGAGGCTTTCCGTCGGAAGAGGGGTCCCCTTGTTTTTGCAGGAGCAGCTCGCTGGGGTGGATGTTTTGTTGCTGTAGACAATAGATTATACAATAAAAATAATTAGCAGGAAGAGTCCTGCTTTTTACCCCTTGGCCTGTGTGAGTTGGCATTGCCCTGCAGCAAACGCGGTTTGCAGGGAGGGCACTCAAGGGCATCTACTTGTTTGGGGATGATTCCCTAAAAGTCATCGTCAGGTACAAAGCCGGGACTTGACAAACTTGTCCAAAAATTTCCTTCCCAGTCAAGATATTTTTAGATTGGATCAACTTAACTGGTTTGGATTAAATTTAAACTTGAAATTTTCACTCTTTAAAATATTTTACTTCAGGCAATTAAAGTTTCAGTTGACATTTTTTAGGAGTCTTTTTTTTCCCTCCCCTGGTAGGCTTTGGCGAACTCGGGTAAAATTACAACATTAAGAATGGCCTTGCCCTTTTCTCTGCCTGACTTGCTTCCACAGGATTTTGAAACATCAAATATTGAAGAATTGTGTGTTTAAGAACTTTCTCTCAGAACTGATGAAACTTATTTAGAGCTTATTTAGAAGATTATGTTTGTAAAATAAAACTTAAAAGCGTTGTCCCTAGGTGGAGAATTACTTAAAACTAAGACCACATTCCAAGAGGTGGCATAATCATATACGTGGAAATACGCACGTCATTCTACTTATAATGGCAGCGGGCAGAGGAGGAAGGGAAGCTAGGACATTCCTAGGCCTCGGCCACTTTTCTTTGCTGCCAAATGCTAAGATCCATGCTAGGCGCCCCTGTCATAGCGATGCAGACCTCAGTAGGTGTGAAAGTAGTTCAGAGCCAGAAGGGTGGGGAGTTCAACTGCTGTCTCAGTCAAGGTCAATCTTGAGGAAGTGAATGAGGGTGCCAAGCAGGGTGTCAGGAGGCCGGGGCCTTTTCAGAGAGTTGGGCAGTGGGGGTATCTCTGTGCTCCAGTAGACAGAGGACTGGGTTATTTTTCTAACTTACTTGTCACAAACATTCCCAAACGTATGCAAAAGGAGTGAACGGAGGACACCTATGTGCCTGTCACTCAGCGGTGACAGTGGCAGCATTTCACTATATCTGTCTCATCCAGCCCTACTCCCTTTTTCTTTTTCTGGAGGATTTTAAAGCAAACATTATATAGTATGTCATTTCTCCTTACAAACTTCAGTATGCATCTCAAAAATACCAATTTCACACATAATGAAACAAAATCTTTAATATTATATAATACCCACCCCTCACTCAAATTTCCCCAGCAATCTAAAAAAAAAAAAGTCCCTTTAGAGTTTCAGGATCCAGACAAATCCCATTCATTGCATTTGGTGATGGTATTTTAAGTGTTTTTAGTGCTTGGCCTCTGCTGCTTCGTCATCGCCTTGTTGGGAAGGTTGGGCCGGTTGTTCAAGAATACTCTGTTCCGGGTTTGTCTGAAGGCTTCCTGCGATCCCATTTCGCTTGCTCTTTCCTGTTTCCCATAGACAAGAAGTTAGGTCTCAGGGATTGATGTTACCCCAGATTGAATTTTTACTCATTTCTTTTCCCTAAGAATACTTCATAGGAAGTGTCGCTGACGTCGATCATGTCCCATCAGGAGGTACCTCATGGCCAGTTGATTGTTTTTTAGAGATTGATCAGTGGGTTCAGGTGATCATTTCTTTATTAACAGCCTGATTATTTCATTACAAAATTTCCGTCAACCTTACACTTTCTGAGTTTACTAAATTTTGACGATCATGGTCTAAATCAGTTACAACTTTAGTTACCACGTTACAGTGACTACACTCATTGTTAGGGATTCAACATGGCGACTTTCTAACTCTTTCGATCGTGGTTATCTGAAATCCAGCTCGTACTGGAAAGGCAGGAAAGTGCTGAATTATTTCTCTTTAATTCTCCATTTTTAGAATGTGCTGGTGCCCTAGAAACCTCCATTGGTATCCAAAGCGTTTTTGCTTTATTTTTGTCTCCTCTTTATTTTTAGTTTTACTTCCTGTCCTAGATCGGGAATCAGCCATTTCTCCAAAAAACTCTGGTTCCTTTTAGTGGTGAGTGGTATTGGATGGTACAAACTGGTGTAAGCGGGTGCTTATTATCACCTGGATGTCATTGCTTCTGGCATTTTCAGTGGAAAGCTATAAAAATATATTTTTAAAAAGAAGAAAAATACATTTAAGTTGATATTTTCAGTTCAAATATAAGATTTCAGAGCTTTTACTTCTTGAACGTTATATTTCATTTCTCTTACATTGAAAATCTTGGTTCCTAATGACATTAGTATAATTACTTCTTTGCTTATCCTACAATATACATATAATAGTTCAAAAGTAACAATACCAATATTATTACTAGTGATGTGACTACTAAATGAAGTTTATGATTTCTTTGCAGTTCCTTTTGTCCTTAGAATAGATTCGCTGGGAATGTACAGTGAAACTGTCGAAGGTCAGCTGGGGTCATTTTTCCTGTGTGCATGTTACTAACTTGAGACATAATTAGGTCCATTTGTTGTCATTTTTTTCCTCCTTACATATTGTTTGTAAAAGTTAATTTGTAAAAAGCACTTACATATCTCAAAGTCAAAACCATATGACAATATGCGTTCAGAAATACCACATTTAATACAATGTAATTGTAAAAATGGAGAATTAAAGAGAAATAAGTAAGCATTTTCCTGACTTTCCAGTATGAGCTGGATTTCAGACAACCATAACTGAAAGAGTTAGAAAGTCATGGAGTCTTTCTCTGTTGCCCAGGCGGGAGTGCAATGGTGCGATCTCAGCTCACTGCAACCTCTGCCTCCTGGGTTCAAGTGATTCTCCTGTCTCAGCCTTCTGAGTAGCTGCGATTACAGGCTCACACCGCCATGCCTGGGGGCTAATTTTTTTATTTTATTTTATTAGAGACAGGGTTTTACCGTGTTGCCCAGGCTGCTCTTGAACTCAGAGCTCAGGCAATCCATCCACCTCAGCCTGCCAAAGTGTTAGGATTACAGGCGTGAGCCACCACACCTGGCCACCATGTTGCAATTTCTAATGATGAACGTATTCACTGTAACGTGATAACTAAAGGAGTAGTTGATTTAGACAATGATCGTCAAAGTTTAGTAAACCCATTAAATGAAAGATTGACATGGAATGTACATCCAGAAATACTACAGTTAATACAATACTCCCTTTCTAACATTGCTTCCCCTACTCTATTCTAGCCTCTCCCATCAATAACCATTTTTATTTATTTTAGTTTTTTCTTCCACTTTATTTCTCTGAAAATATAAACAAATATGAATCTGTGTGTTACTATTACACTTTCCTTCTCATAGAAAAGCTAGCACACCACATACACTGTTCTGCATTAGGCATTCTTCACTGGACGCTTTGTTCTGGAAAGCCCATATCAGTATATAAAGATCTCCTCTTTACAGTACGTCACCATGTGTTAGTATACTATGTATTAGTATTCACCATGTATTAGTATTCCAAACAGTCCCAAATTGGGGTTGTTTCTAGTCATTTGCTATTAAAAACAATGCCAAATCTATTAACCTGGTGCATATAGTATTACATACTTTTGCAATGTAACTTTGGGATAGATTTCTAGGAGTGAGAAAGCTGGGTTAAAGAGTAAATGCATGTGCAATTTTGCTAGATATCACCACATTCCTCTGCACAGGGGTCGGAGTATTTTATCATCAACAATATACAAGATTGTTTCCCCCCCAGTCTTGTCAACAGGGTATATTGCCAAACTTTTGGATTTTTGCCTATTTGCTGGGTGAGAATTGTTATATGGTTTTTCATTTGCATTTGTATTATTATGGGTGAAATTGACCATCTTTTTGAATGCTTATAGGCTGTTGATTACTTTATCTGTGAACTCTATTGCTACTGTTTTCCTATTTCTAATTGTGTTGGATTTTTTTGTCTTAATTTTTAAAACATGTATATGTGGGCTGGGTGCAGTGACTTATACCTGTAATCCTGGCATTTTGGGAGGCCAAGGCAGGAGGATTGCTTGAGCCCAGGAGTTTGAGACCACCTGGGTAACATGGTGAGACCCTGCCTCTAAAAAAAAAAAAAAGAAAGAAAAAGTTAATCAGGCATGGTGGTGCACACTTGTAGTCCCAGCTACTTAGGAGGCTGAGGTGAGAGGGTCAACCAAGCCCAGGGAGGTTGAGGCTTCAGTGAGCCGTGATCAATGCCACTGCACTCCAGCCTGGGTGACAGAGACACCCTGTCTGAAACAAAACAAAACATGTATATGTGCAGAATATTAGCTTGACTAACAGCCTTTAAGATATGTCTAACATTTAAGTTGCTTGAATGTTTACTGTGACAGATTCCCTTCTACTGCCACAACCAGTTGGTACAGTCTGCCATACTTGTTGGAGTTTCTCTCTCTATCCTTTCTGTCTCTTACCTTGAGTTCATATTTATCTTATCTTTATCTCTCTGCTCATTCTGTATAATTTCTTCAGGTTCATCTTCCAGTTCATTAATTCTCTCTCCAGTAGTTTTTAATCTGGGTTTTATACACCATTGAGTTTTCAACTTCAATAACCATATGTGAGCACTTTGATGTTGTTCATTTTCAAATCTGCCCATTCGTTTATATATAATACTGTATATTGTGATTTTTTATGTTCTTGCTTAATTTTTGAATTTCTTTAATCATCTTAGTTGTGCTTACTTTATAGACATTTTAGATCTTTTGTTTCTAATCTTTCTCTTCATTTTAGCTACTGATTCTTTCATGGTAAATTGTTTTCAGTGTTTTTAAAATTTTTGAATTATAAACTGCCTTTCACCCAACCATGAAAATGTGAGAATTCTGTGTAGTCTGTATTGAGAAATTTTCTCTCCAGAGAAGCTTTGCATGTGCCACTTCCAAGCACTCCAGGGATATCACCAGCCAGAAACCCATTTGTGTTAATTTCTCAGCATCAAAATTTCTCAAACCAAGTGGGTAGTACATATTTGAATCTCCATTGCCCATAAGGGCATGTTTATGGGTAAAAATTTTCAGAGGAGATTTTCATTTCCCTCTTGAGCTCAGGCTCACACACAAGCTTCCTTATGATCTTCCTGAGCTAGTGAGTATTATTTTTTTCTAATCTATAACTGAGATTTCAGGCCTTCCAGGGTCCTGGGTGGTAGTATCAGTTTCAATGCCCTGCTTCAGAGGGTTGTAAAAACTTTTCTGTAATTTCTGTTTGGCCAATGCCCTAGTTTACTGGGACTGGTGCCCTCATTCAGGACTGCCACAAATGTGTGCACGCTCTTCCCACTTTCTATTGCGTCTTCCTTCAGGGCCTTTGGAAAATCTCCTTCCTGCCTTACAGGAAGTGCTCCTCACAGTGCAGTGCTCAGGCGGTGCTCCTCACAGTGCCTACTTTAGTCAGCAATAAACAAAACACATGTTGTTGAGCTTCTCAACTTATGCTGCCTCTGACTCAAATTATCTTTAATTAAATTAATTAACTTTCTGAGACAGGGTCTCGCTCTGTCACTCAGGCTGCAGTGCAGTGGCACAATCATGGCTCACTGCAGGCTTGACCTCCTGGGCTCAAAGATCCTCCCACCTCAGCCTCCTGAGTAGCTGGGACTATAGGCGTGCACTACCCCACCCAATTAACTTTTGTATTTTTAGTAGAGATGGGGTTTTGCCATGTTTCCCAGGCTGGTCTTGAACTCCAGGGCTCAAGTGATGCACCCACCTTGGCCTCCCAAAGTGCTGGGATTACAGGCGTGAGTCACCGCCTCTGGCCTTCAAATTATCTTTATGATGAAATAGAAAAACATCCAACACTTAGACAGGATCAGCATCCAGAAAGTTACTCAAAATCTGAAGCCCCTTTTCCAGTAGCAGAATGCATCAAAAATTGGAAGGATGTGTGGGGTGTCAAGCTGGAGGGATTGGGATGGCTCCGCACCTGCCCTGCAGAGAGCCACATAAATTATTAGCTGTGGATTTTAAAAACTCTATAAAGCAGCTCCTTATTGACAAGAATATTATTTTCTATTAGAGTCTACATCGTCACCCTCTACTTGAAAGTCCCTTTTATGTTCCTGAAAAAGCGCTGGACTGAGTTCATCTGTCCACTGCCTGGTTGTGTGCTGTTGTCTACTCACTGCTCACCTCTGAAATAGACAGACTACGTGTTAGCCTACCTTCAAGGATGTAGCCATGGTTTTGAAAGCCAAAATTAAATGTAAACTGACCTGCACATTTGTTGTTTGAGGTTAGTGTGATCTTGATTCAAAAACCAGTTACAGACAATACAAGAAAGTAAATCACAGTTCCATTTTCAAAAATCTCAAATAAAATATTGGCTAAGAGAATCCACGGTGGATATAAAAAGTAATAATACATGATGTTCACGTAGGAGTTATTTCAGAAATGCATGGCTAGTTCAGCATCAGAAACATCAGTGTAATCCACCAGAGAAAAATAATCAGTAAATGCAGTCAAAAGTATTTTACCAAGTTGACTCACAAATTATGATTTAAAATTCTAAAAAAAAAAACTCCTTCCAACAAGCCTAGCAATTGAAGGGCTCTTCCAAAAATTGAGAAACAGTATCTATTACAACAGAAGCCTACAGTCACATCCTAATGAATGGAGGAAATGTGATCGATTCTCATTAGGATTTGGAATAAGAAAAGGAGGCCAACTGCCACCTCCCACTGCTTTAACTAACACTGGCGTTCTTGGTTAATAGTTATTAAGCAGTTCAGAAAAATTAAAACAAAATTAAACAAAACCTCCAGGAAAGAGAAGGGAAAGCATTCTGACTTTCATGTGACTTCACAATTCATTTATCCCCACAGTCCAAGCATAGTCTCTTAGGGGCCAGGATCCTGTCTGATCTTTTAAAAAATCTCCGGGACAGCACCTAGCGTAGAGGTTGGCAGCAGGTACTAATTTGCAAAAGGGGACCCTGTCTATGCTATGCAGTAGTAAAGATGACATGAGATCCACACGTGGAAACGGCTGTACACACGCTGGAGCAGCACTCATTTGGAAAGGCCGCACTCCCCGGCGTTTTCTCCCGGGACCTCCTCCCACGGATTGCTCCTCGGGTTCCCAGTGCCCAGGCCCCAGGCCCACCAGGCCGCACGCGCGAGCCGCCGTCCTCGCACTGGCCAGCAGGTGGCGCCCGGGCTCCACGGCCGGAGTCGGGTAGCGCGTCGGGCGCCGCGGGAAGTCGCCTCCGAGAGGGGCCGCTGCGCCTCGGCGGCGGCTACCCGAGGTCCCGGGGCCAACGTCGCCAGCGGTGCCCGGCAGGGGCTTGGCAGGGCCCGGGTCGCCCCACGGTCCCGCCCGCACTGCTTCCGTCCGGGGACGCTCCCCAGGGCCGTCCGAGCGGACTACGCGCGGGTCCCCGTGACTGGGGGGCGAGCGTGGGGCCGGCGTCTGCGCCCCTCCCGGAGGCGAGGCCGGGGTCGGGTTGGGACCAGCGCGCGCTTCCCTCCCCGCCGCGCAGGGGTCGGCCAGGGCCGCGGCTGGCGACAGGTGGCGGGACCTGGGGGACAGGTCCGCGGGTAGCCTGGGGCGGGGAGCCGCCCCCACGGCCCTCAGAGCGCCCTCCGGGTGTGATGATCAACCACACGACGGCCCCGCGCTGGCCCCGGCAGAGCCCAGTCCCCGGCGCAGCCCCGTCCCCGGCGCGGGTCCGCAGGGCGATCCGGGCGGCCGCGGCTCCACAGCCCCCGCCCTCCTCCAGCGGCAGCGCCCGCGGGGGCCGATCGGGGTCAGGGCGGGGAGACGCGCGGACTCCTCGGTGGCGTCGCCCGGACACCTGCTCGGCCCCAGGTGAGCCCCAGGTGAGCTGCTGCCCCACCCGGACCCCTTCCTCCCCGGGTTCGCGTCCACCTGGGACCCGCCTTCCAGAACCTCTCGGCCCACCTAGCGCCCTGGGACCGAAAACGCAGACCGGTCCAGAGCACGTGGCTGCCCGCGGTCTCTGGCTTGGAAGGGCTTCTGCCCGCTCTGCCTCTTCCTTCCAGTCCAGGGCGGCCGTCAAGGCTGAGGGCGATTGAAAAGTCCGGGAAAATGCGCCAGGCCCAGCCCGGTCTCCGGAGGCCTGGGGGTGGGTGGGGTTGGGGGGTGCTAAAGGTGTGGACGAAGGCGAAGCCAAAGAGGCATCAGGAGCCTGGGGCCAGGTGACAGCTGAGTTCCCTGGGCAAATAGTAACCCTCGGGTGTTTCTGCCTTCCCTTAAATCTGAAATCATGTTCTGAATTCTGTACAGCTTTCTTTCCTTCTCCTGATTAACTTTCATTTACTCCAGAGAAGCGTCTTAACGCCCACTCACACAGGTAGTCCTTCCACACTCCCAGACTCACAACCACAACTCATTCTTGGCTTTAAACTCAGCCCTAAGGCACAGAACCAAGCTTTCCCTTCAGGACTCAGAGGCATTTCTGTGCTCAAAGCCTCCCCCAGTCCCTGTCAACTCAGCACTCTGCCTTACCACACATCTGATAAGGAGATTCTCTGTACACAAGTAAAGGCTTCAGGGGTGCTGGTGGGGAGATGAGGGAGAAGGGGATAAAGAAAATGTGTGTCGGGGTGCAAGGGAGAGAGAGAGAAAAGAGCGAGTGAGTGCCAGAGAGATCTTAAAAACCACTCGGAATTCAGGTACTGACTTCAGACATGTTTTATTATAATCTTATACAGTCTACATAAATTTGAACTTGTATTTATTTGGGTTCAGTTATAACATAGCATAATAAAAATCAAAGCACTGGTCCTCTGAAATAAAGCAGGCAATCACCATTCAATAAACACACTTGATTTATTTTGTATAAAAGGGTTAAGTTTACAACTAAACTTTTATAAAAAGTTTAGCATGAATAAGTACATCATTACACTTTTTAAAGCAGAAATAGACATCTCTGCCACTATACAAGAAAACTCTAATTAAAGAGTTCACAAGGTTTCACTCAATAGATATATTTATATATAAATATATACACAGCACTCAGTAGGCTTGTGTCAAAAAGGTAATTTCTGACCAAAAGACTTCATTTAAGTGACTGAATACTGGATCCTTCTGGTATTCACGCTCCACCTTTGAAAAAAGGCAAAGTCTGCTTAGATTGGGCAATTCCTTGTGATTTTAACGTTTTCGCTCCCCATGGTGGGAATAGTATATAAAGAAAACCTTCCAACTGCAGAAAGGGCATTTAAAAGTCTTTTTCATAAATAACGAATATCTCAGTCCAGGTGAGAGAACACCCTGGGAAGATGATCATTCTTAGTTTTCCTTCCATTTTTTTTTTCTTTTCAAAAAGGTCCGTTCAAGTTGTCCTCCTTGTGAAATGGTTGAAAAGTTCAGCACTGAAAAGATTCTGTGGATTTGTTGTTGTTGTTGTTGTGCAAAGAAAAAAAAAGAAGTCATGAACACCTGCAAAAGATTGGGAGAGAAAGGCATGTTTAAGAGAATGTAACCTAAGGGCAGAGGCGGGCAGACTGGCGCCGGGAGGAAGCCACAGTTTGAACATTTAACCAAACACTCAAAGATTGGGCAAACCCTGGCGTCCAGATGCAACACACACACTCGCCTCGACAGCGCAAATTAAACATTAAAATAGCAGAGACTCAAGGGAAAAACTTCCCAACCCACTCTCCTATTTGGATCTCCAACAGCAGTGCTACACAGGCGCCAGTCTGCTTCTTGTAACAATTATTTGATTGAAAACAGCCCTTTAGTTAACAGATAGGGAAGTCTGGGATCCCACATCACAGGGTCTAAGGCACAGGGTAGCAATCCTCAACTAGCCCAGAGAATCCCAGAGGACTATAGTTTTAGGGAAGCAGGATCACTGTGGAATTTGTGGCGATAAGATTAATTACAGTGGAGGTTAGTACCTCATAGTACCAGAGGAATCGTAGGCAGAGCCAGGGCATTACATTTGCTACAAAGCCAATACACACGTTCCTCGGCCGCCTTCGTAGTAAGTTATTGGCATCATTTCCTTTTAAAGGAAAATGTTCTGTGATCTCGAGTACCCAGAACTACAAGCTCCTTCATGTCTAGTGAGACAATGTAGTACGGGTAACACCGCGAAGCAAGCATGCATTTACCAAATCAGACATTTTACAGATACACAAGCAAAAACACATGCGCGCACGCACGCACATACACACAGAAGGGCAGTTTACCCACGGGTGGCACAAGCAAACACTCACCGCTTATTCAGCCACACAGTGCTTTGCTGTCATTTGACATTAACTCAGAAGGGAATTCAGAAGCCTGGAGAGAAAGAGGATAAAGACAATGTTAAGTAGAAAGGGTTTTTGTTTTGTTTTGTTTTTTTGAAGTAGTCCACAGACCAGCAAGTTCCATTAAACACGTTTATGGTAACAATTCAGATTCAAAAACAGACGCATTAACATGTCAGAACTTACTAGCAATTTCACGCACAGCTCAATCTACGGCAGATTCTTATGAAAATAAAGTTAAATAGCTCATGCAAAAGTCACCGTCTGGGCTACGTATCTCCTAGTGACAACCCAGGCGACCGCGGGAGTGTGCGGCGGCGGGGCGGGGGCCCCGGAGCAGGTCTTACCTGCAAGGACAGGATGCTGATGTCCGTGTTGAGGGTGGTCAGCGGCGTCCTGGACGCCTGGTTCTGCCCGGGTCTCTGGTGATGGAGGCTGACAATAGTGGGATGCGAGTCCAGGGCGATCTGCAGGTCCAAGATGTAGTCGATGACGTGCTGCAGGATTTCCATCTTGCTCACCTTCTTGTTCTGGGGGATGCTGGGCACCAGCTCCTTGAGCTTGGAGTAGCAGTCGTTCATGTTGTACAGCAGGCTCATCGGGTCGTCCACCGGGGTTTTGCTCCGGGAGATGCCCAGGCTGTGGTCCGACAGGCTGTTTTTCCTAACGGACCTCACGGGACTGAAGGCTTTCATGCTGACCGGGAGGGAAGGCGAGACCGGGAGGGAGCTGGCTGCCCTGAAGCTCAGGCCGCCGCCGCCGCCTGCTGAGCTAGCTGCGCTTGGCACTGGGCTCGGCTCAGAATGAAGCCGGAGCCCGGCGGGGCGGCTTTTATCCGCACTCGCCGGGGCCACACGCTCGGGCTTCCCTTCGTCCCCATTGGTGGAAGGCAGCGCGTCCATCAAGCCGAGCGGGCGCTTTCATTGGCAAGCGCGGGCGCGGGGCGTGGGCTCGGTTCTTCCGCGTTCGCAGCCAATCCCCGCGGGGTGGGCGGGACGCGAGCCCAGCTGGGGTGGTAAATAGAGTACAGTACAGTAAGCGCTAGGCGGGCGGGGAGCGGGGAACCGGGAGCTGGGAGGCGGGAGGCGGGAGGAGGAGGAAGGGGGGAGGAGGAGGGAGAGGAGGGAAGATGGGGGAGGGGAAGGGGAAGGGGGAGGGGGCAGACCCTGGGCGCCTAAATGTGCATTCTTAATTCTAATTCCAAACGCGCGGTAGGACCCTTGCCCTGGGGGTGTTCCCAGACCAAGCCTTGCACACCTTGGAGCTGTCGGCAGCCCTAAAATCACGGCTACACGGGCGAGTTCAGCACCGCAGGGGGAAGCCACAGTTCACTGCAACCCATCGGAGGGAGAGCGTGAGGAAAGATAGAAAGCATTTCAGAAGAAAGTGAAAACGCAAATTAGGTTGTCACTGAAGAGTCACGTTTGTAGAGTGAGTTCGTCTCTTCAGATAAGGAAAAGTTATGTTAACACAAACAAACCACCCACGCATGCATTCGACGACAGGCTTAGTGTGGGTTTTTGCAACCCGGAGCAGCGCGGGAGGCATTACTGTAAACTCAGGAAAATGAGTACTTATTGGAAGCCATGCCCAACCTCGCCGGTCGCTAAGGAGCTCTCACAGGGCGCTTTCAGGGTTCCTTTTCAAGAAGGAGGCAGGGCTATTATAATGATAGTATTAATCGGAAATAATTAGGAGAATTTGCATTTTGAAACTACATTTACATACACTGCCCTTGAAAGGCTGCCGGTCTGTGCCCTTCAGTGTAGGTGGCAAAGTAATGTGATTAATTATGCAAGAATTGTGATTTCTGGTGTCACATTCCAACACCTAGAGGAGTTCCAAAGCTTTGTGACAGATAGGTGGCCCTAGCCATTGATTAACATCTTCACACTAAGAAAAAAAAATATTCTGTCATATATGAGGTTTGGAATCTTTTCAGCACTAGTGCTGCATACAGGTTCAAGGTTTTTTTTTGTTTTGTTTTGGCTGAAAATGTTTAAGAACTCAGTCTAAATTTTAAAAAGTTTGCAGCTATTTACTCAAATACCTTGTTAATTCTCACATAATTCTAGCTTATCTAGAATTCTGTCCTGATCACAGTATGTCACTTTCTTGTTTTGAAAATATTTTCTCCAGAAAACAATGAACTAGAAAACCCCAGGAAAGGCAATATTCAAATCTTATTTACTTTCTGCCTCAATCTCTACCTCCTCTGCATTTCAGAAAGAGGAAGGGGCAGGCCTAGAGGCTGAAAGAAAAGCTCAATAATGGGGAAACTGTTTTTTCCTTCACTTAATGATTAATTTATCAGCTGGTGGGGCCAGCGGTCTCTGGCTGTCACGTGACAGCTATGCGCCCCAGGACGCCTCTCCAGGGAGGCAGAGTGGGTGGCGCTGAGGTGGAGATCACCTTCCTGAAATCAACCCCCCTCAGTTTGGAGGAAGGAGGTGAATGGTTTCCTGTCCAGCCAGAAATTTGCCGACGGCCTTCCCAAGGCCCGGCGCTGGTGCCTGCGACTCTGTCCCTGACAGCGTTGGACGCACCGTATCTCTTCTGATATTAAGTCTGGAAGTGATTTACCATCCGAGTCCTCCCACAGTTCGAGCCTTTTGATGTACTTTGTGTGCATGTGTTTCTGTCACATACGTGCCACAGTGCAACAGATTTTGTTTTGACACTATTTTGGTTCATGATGTTATACTTTGACTATTTTACAATAATAGCCAATGTAAACAAACATCTTTGGGATTCTCAAATTATTACTTATGATTCTTGGACATTGCAGCTCTTCGATACTGACGCATTCCTAGCTTTTTCCAAGGACACCGTATGTTAACATCCGTGCCAGCCTCATTATCCCCACAGCCAGGCTCTGGGCTGGGCGGTAATGAGCATTGTGCGGTTTCACTTTACACTTTGCAAAGTTGATTAAGGCAGTGCCTTCTCCCATGATCATTTTTGTACCCTGATGTAGTAAAATGGCTAAATATGGTGAAAGTTTTCTGGTGTTTCTTTAGCTGCCATGTCAGAGTCCAGTCTGCCTGGCTGTGTTGAATTCGATTCTATTGGCACGCTACCCAGTTTTACATTCATTTAAAGATCATTTAAAGGGGATTACGAAGCTGTTAAAGTTAATGATTTAAACAAGGCCTAAGTTACTAATGTGTCTGTTTCAGCACGCCCAATATGAAATCACCTTAAAAATTGCTTTCGTGGGGGGAAAATCGTGTTGCAGCATTTTCGAGGTGGTTTTAAAGGCACGTCAAAATCTGTCAATTGGTGGCTTAGGTGGGTTTGCATTTGAGGCCTCCAAAGTTCAAACGGCCCCAGCTGGAGGGCGGGCTAGATCCGCGGACGGTGGGAAGGTGTGCAGGGCTTCCGCTGGTAGGTGTTGGTGCGGTCCCCTCGACTCCCCACCGGGACGCCCCCACCCCGTGGCAGCAACAGACCTGCCCGTAAGGTCCCCCAGCCTGGCTCCAGGGCTCACTCACTCCGCCTCTAGGGCAGGCCCCGCGGCGGCTCTCGCGTCCGGGCCCCTTGCGGTAATCAGAAGCAGCTCCGGGCGGGGAGCTCGAACGCTGGCCAGGCCGCCTTTGCCACCCCCGCGTGATGCGCCGGGGGGCGGGAGGAGCCTGCGGGGGCGGGGGGCGCGTCTCAAGGTCCTCCTTGCACATCTGGCGCAATGGGGAGCGCTCGCCTTTCTTTCCTGGGTTTTGTTCTCACAGCTGTGTCCATTCCGCCCGTGACCCCGCGAGTGATCCCTGACAGGTGATGAATTGGCAGCGGCGGCGGCGGCGGCGGCGCGCGGGCCAGGCCGCGGCGGGGCCGGAGCCGGAGCCCCGGAGCAGACTCTCTGGCGCCAGGCGCGTGACGCCGCCCATTCACGCCGCCCTGCAGCCTTGTCCTCGCGGCGCCGCTCAGGCGGCTGCCATGGCAACCGCGCCGTCACTCAGCGCGCGCGCCCAGCTGATCAATGCCTGCGAGGCCCGGCAGTCCCAGGCTCGCCCCGGCCCGGCCGCCGGCCCGCGCGCACCTGCAGCCGCTGCACGTCTTAAGTTTCGAGTGATTTGGGGAAGGAAGGAGGACCGAGAAGAAAAGAAAAGCGTTGAGGGGGGGGGGGGGGGGGGGGGTGAGGGGAGGAAGAGAGGACGAAGGAAAAATGCCGGGAGAGAGAAGAAAGAAATCTTCCTTTTGCAAAAGGAGGCATAATATGGCTTAGAGGTTGCCAAAGCAAAAGGTTTTGCTTTATTTTGTTTTTGCAACCGAGGCGTTCGGGGTGGGGCTGGCGCGAGAGAAGGGTGGATGGGGAGAAGGTCACTGTCTTAGCGCGTGGCGAGATTTATTTATTCCTTTGGATGATTTCAGTTTCTCGCCGGATGGCTTTGATGCTGGACTCCTAAAAATACCTTTGAAAGACTGAAAGACCCCACCCCTGCCTCCACACCGTCCTACTGCCTAACTCCTCGGAACCCTGGGAGGTTGCGCATAAACCATTAATTTTTTTTTTTTTCCAGAACAGTCCCTTTCTCTGCCCTGGGGGAGCCGGGAAGATGTGCAGCCCCAGCCCTCGTCCTCGGCGGAGCCTCGCGCGCAGAGCCTAGCGCGATTCGCGCCCTCATTACCACTACAAAGCGCGAGCCAGACCAATCCCCTTTCTAATGCACCATTTTCGACTGAGAACATCAAGAGGCCAGAAACTTCCAAGTCAGCTTGCAGACGCAGACGCCTCCTGGGTCCTGGCTTTAAGAACCAGATGCCAACATTCCCGGACAGTTTATGGCATCCGGATCCCTCAAGGGTGCTCATCTGCAGTTGAGAGTGTTAGTAGCAATTATTTATCGTCTGCCTTGGAGAGGAGTTCCTGAACATAAATGTTCTCTGCTGGCTCTAAAGCTGGGGGCGGAGGCTGTGTGTTGTGGGGTGGGGGTTGGGGGGCCGAATGTTCCCGGTCCTGTTATCTGGTTTAGCAGCATTTGTTGTGGTTTTCGAGGAAATGGCATCTGGATTACATAAGGATTCAAGTTTTTGCTTTACTTGTTTATTTAATACCTTGGCAAGAGGGAGCCCTTACCCTGAAACCAGTTAACCGATTTTGGGTTTAAAACAGGCTTAGATGAAGGGCCACTCAAGGGGAAGAAAATGAGCAAAGCCACAAAAAGCAAACGAGGGAATGTTTATTTTTCTTTTTTTGGATATTTTTGAAGACCTGCCTAACCTCTTAAACTTCTTGTCGCACACAGCTAATAAACGGCATTAACAAAGCGTTTCAACAACTACCACGGCTTAACAGTGGCTCTTCCCCTGCCCTGCCACCATTCGGGCCGTAATTCCTTCCAGGATTCCCGCACCGTCCTGTGTGCCCAGAGCTCTCTAGAGCACCAGGTAGAACTCCGTGCTAAATCCAATTGCTTGCAAACTTCTGATCCCCTTTTAGGGAGATCACTTTTCAGCTTGGTTGAAAGAAAGCAAAGTTTGGGAAGTTTGGCGGAGGGGCCGATTTAACTACGGGCACTGCAAATATTTTGTTACAAATGCTGTGAAGTGCCCCGATTTGTGGCTGCGTTTAGTTTTCACAAAGGATTTTCCTGTGTCTTTTATTCCGGTCCCTACATTAAAAAAGAAAATTAACTTGAGCGAGAGATAAGGTCTTGGAAAACAATCTTGGGCCGCCTGCGAGCTGGCGGGAGCAGGGCTGGCGTCGCCGAGTCTGCGCCGCCCCGAGGCGCGAGTCTTGGGGTCCGGCCACCGCAGGGAGCCTAGGTCATGCAGGGACCCCCCTCCATCCGCTGTGCGTCCCCGCGCCACAGCGTAGCACCCAGGTCACCCGCCTCTGCCCACCAGCGTCCGTGGGAATCCACCCCAGCCAGCGACAAGGGCGGGCTTGTCCGGAATCAAACTGCATCTTAATATTATAATGCGGCACCAAAAGCAAAACCCGAGGCCCGGCTTGCAGACCCTAACAAGAAACACATTGTGTGCACTTTTTCTTTTTTGGCTCAAGCGACGTTCGCGCGCCGGCCCCTCCGCAGCGAGCCAAGTCCATAACTTCAGTGAGGAGGAACCCGCCTGCCTCGCACCACGTGCGCTCCCAGCTGGGGCAGCCACCTTGCTGCGCCCTGCGAGCCCTGTCCCGGTCCCTGGGAAGGGCTAGGGCCTGACCGGGACGCACTTGTCATGGGCACAGGACAGGGCTTTGGGGCACAGCCCTTTCTTGGCCAGGGAGGCAGGCGAACCCATCGCCTGGGCACTGGTATCACCCAGGCGGCGCCAGTGTGAGTTGGCTGGTGGACAAATTTTTCAATAGTTTGAACTCCTTCTTCCCGTTGCCCATCTTTAAGGCGTTTACTCCCAGATTCAGCCTTCTCCTTTTAATAATGACAGTTTGCAGACTTCTCCTCTGTAGTTAGAGGGAGTGCGTGCGCGGGTCCTGCAACACTCTAGCTGCGCGTCACCCTGAACCATTCTGCGGGAGGGGCAGGACCTAAGGCTGTATCTCCAGGAGGGAACGTGGAGAGACGACGTGGGCGGAGGGGACTTGGAGGCGTTCCTGGAGGGGCAGTCCTAGGCACAGGGCGAAGGATTTGCGCTCTAGCTGGTGGAGCGCATATCGCCCTGGGTTAGCTCTGTGGTGGGTCCTGGGCTCTTCCCCGCCTCTTCCTGCCTCCGCTGACACCAGGGACTGCCCTTCATCAGTACTCCGCAGAAAAGGCTGGGTAAATTAAGGCGTACATTTAATTTTAACTATCATGCCTGACTTTCTAGGATTCTGTGTGAAGAATACAGAGACAGACGTTACATTTCAAAGAAAAAAGGGCGATACGACGGCCCTCTTTAAGGAGAGCGTAAACATGCACTTTAGGTAAAAGCTAATCTTTTACACGCCTGTGCACGGCACACCTCTTTTGCTGTTCGCCTTGACCCCAAGAGTTTGGAAAGACTGCCCCCATTTCAGAGAGGAAGAAACGCAGGCACACATGAATGACAGACTCCTCTGTGGTGGCCTAGACTCCAGCCAACACTTCTGGGACTACCTGCCATCGTGCATGGGTGTGTAACCTTGACTCCAGGTGGGGCATTGATTACTCTTTTAACCTTGAAATGTATTCCAGTATTGGACGACTGGATTGCCAAGAGCCAGGAATCTGTGAAAACAGTTTGTTCTCATTTTTCTCCTAAGTTAACACTGAGTGACTGAGTTTGACCCTTTGTTAACTAAAGGTCAACTGACATCTTAGGACTTTTCAAACCTTAGTGTATGTAAGAAACCCGTGTTTACACCCAGAGTTCTGTGACCACCTGTATAAATTCTGATTGAGTAGGTTTGGTGAGCAGCCCACGATATAGCATTTTAAGCAAGCATGGCGAGGAGATGCTGATGCCGGTGGTGCGGTGACCACAGTCTGAGAAGCTTCAGACGAGTAATTGGCCTCTTAAATGAGCCCTGGATAAATAATTGGCCTCATAAATGAGCCCTGCAGCAGGCAGACTGCTGGGTGAGAATGAGCCTACTTGGACCCTTTAAGGCAGCAGTCCCCAACCGTTTTGGCACCAGGAACCAGTTTAGTGGAAGACCATTTTTCCAATGAGGGGTTGGGAGGGTTGATGGAGTGGGGCTGGGGAATGGGTGATGGGTACTGGGGTATGGTTTCAGGGTGAAACCCTTCCACTTCAGATCATCAGGCATTAGATTCTCCTAAGGAGCCCACAACCTAGATCCCTGGCATGTGTAGTTCACAGTAGGGTTTGCACTCCTATGAGAACCAATGCTGTGGCTGATCTGACAGGAGGCGGAGCTCATTCACTGCTCACCTCCTACTCTGCCTGAGATTCCTAACAGGCCACGGACAAGTACCAACCAGCCCACTGCCTGGGGTTTTGGGGACCCCAGCTTTAAGGAACTGTACACTTGTTTCTAGAAATTCAAGAGAAGGAAAATATGTTATACTTACCCACATTTTCTCTTTTAAATTTGTTTTTTCCTTCCTGATATTCCATTATTCTCTCTTTGATTAATTTCTTCTGTTTCAAGAGCATTTTTTGGACAGTCTTTTAGAGTAGGTGTGTTGGTGACATGTTCCCTTAGTTTTCCTGCATCTGAAGTCTTGTTCTTCAGTCCTGCAGAGTATTTTTGCGGGATATAGAATTTGGGGTTGACAGCGTTTTTTCCTTTTAGCACCTGACATACTGTGGTGCTTTCTTCCTTCTGTCAAGATTTCCCATGATGAAATCTGATTTCTCATATGAAATCAGCTGTTATTTGAATTGCTTTTTCCCCAGTGTAAGTAAGGTGTGTTTTCTTTCTCCTTGATTTATTTGTCTTTCATTTTTGGAAGTTTGCCTGTGATCTATCTTGGCATGGATTTCTTTAGGTTTATTCTGTTTGAGGTTCTCTCGGCTTCTTTTGCCAAACTTGGGAAATTTTCGCCCATTATTTCTTCACATACTTTTTCAGCCCTGCCCTCTTTCTCTTCCCTTTCCAGAACTCCAATGACACTGATACTAGATCTTTTGTTATAATCCCAGAGGTCCCTGAGGCTGTATTAATATATTATTTAAAAATCTGTTTCCTCTCTGTTGTTCAGTTGGGCAATTTCTGTTTTTCTATCTTCGGGTTCACAGATGGTTCTGTCCTCTCCACTGTGCTTTTGAGTCCATTCAATGAGTTTTTGCTTTGGTTACTGTATTTTTCAGTTTTAAAATTTCCCTTTCATTCTTCTTTATATCTTCTGCTTTTTTGCTGAGTTTTCTATTTTTCGTGGTTTTTTTGCCTGTTCATAATCACCCATTAGAGGATTTTTCTGATGGCCCCTGCAGAGTCTTTGTCAGATTATTCCAACATCTGTGTCACCTCAGTGTTGGCAACTGTTGATTGTCTTATCTCGTTCAAGTTGAGCTTTTCTTGGTTCTTGGAATGAGGAATGATTTTTTCTTTTTTCTTGAAACCTGGGCGTTTTGGGGGTTATGCTATGATCTAGAGCTTATTTAAATTTTCTATTATAGTGGCCTCTGCTGCCACCACCCTGGCTTGGGAGGAGGTGCTCCTCACGTGGCCTCCACTGACACTGTGGGGTGGAGGCATCTTACCACTGGAAGGTGACGAATGTCCCAGTTCTTACTCAACCTTGACAACCTCTGTGGGGAGAGGGCAGTGCTGATTATCCCCTGGGTGGTGGATGGGGTGGGTAGTGTAGGTGTTCAGGCTCCCAGGTGGCCTCTGCTGATGCTCTGTTGAGAGAGCTCGTTGCTGTCCTGCAGGGATGACTGTCTGCTCCCCACTGCACCTTCTCTGACACCATCGTGTTGTTCAGGGTGGCGTCTCCTGACAGCAGACTGAGGGGGTCTGTCTAGCTCTCCACTCCTCTTTGCTGATGGGGTTAGAGTTGGGGCCACAGTCTTTTCTCTGGTGTTTGGTTGTAGTGGGACGGTTATGGTCTAAAAGGTTTTGGTTTCTTGGCTTCTCTCTTACAGTCACCATGTAACAAATGCAGACATCTCTGAGATCACCATGCAGTGAGGATGTCCAAGCTGGTGGCATGAAGAGGCCACATGGAAAGGGCTAAAAAAGGGGCCAGCCTCAGTCATCCCAGCTGAGCACCTGGCTGGGAGTAAAGGAGGACCCCATGGATATCCAGCCCGGTAAGATGACCTCAGCCCCAACCACCAACTGACCATGCACACAAGACATCGTGAATGAGGCTGCCTGCTGGAGCCTGGCCAGTGGGACTGTAGAGTAACTCATTGTCGTAAGCCAGTATGTTTGGGGGTGATTTGTTTCATAAAGTGGTCCCCAAAAGAGGAATTGGGGGTACAGAGTTTCTAGGTACAATCTTGTGCATTCATTGTACTTGTAATCATTGATAATTTACTTGTGTGTTTTTCCTGAAAGTTTTATAACAACATGATTTATAGTGTATAAAAATATCCCTACATCTAACAAACCTGCCTTTTTTTTTTCTTTTTCTTTTCTTTTTTTTTTTTTTTTTTTTGAGACAGAGTCTCACTGTGTTGCCCAGGCTGGAGTACAGTGGCATGATCACGGCTCACTGCAGCCTCAACCTTTTGGGCTCAAGCAATCCTCCCACCTCAGCCTCCCAAGTAGCTGGGACTACAGGCATGTGTCACTGCACCCAGCTACTTTTTCTTTTTTGAGACAGGGTTTCACTCCTGTCACCCAGGCTGGAGTGCAGTGGTACAATAGCTCACTACAACCTCTACCTCCTGGGCTCAAGCAATTCTGTTGCCTTAGTCCCCTGAGTAGCTGGGACTGTAGGCACATACCACTGCACCTGGCTAATTTTTGTATTTTTTAGAGACGAGGTTTTGTCATGTTGCCTTGACTTGTCTTAATCTCCTGAGCTCAAGTGGTCCTCCTGCCTTGGCCTCCCAAAGTGTTGGGATTACAGATGTGAGCCACTGCACCAGGCTAATTTTTGCGTTTTTTTGTAGAGATGGATTTTCACCATGTTACCCAGCTGGTCTTGAACTTCTGGGGTCAAGTCATCTGCCTGTCTCAGCCTCCCAAAGTGCTGGGATTACAGGCATCACTGCACCCCGCCTAAAGTGCCTGAATTTTAAAAGAAATACAGGTTTTATTTGTCATACGTCTAGTATATTCTCAGAATTTTTTTTTAACTGATAAGAACTCCTACCAGCTATCCCCCAAGATATAGAATTTATAACCCTATGCGATGACTGTATATTTTGAATCAAAACCAAGTATGATGAATGGCTACAGCTCAGGGGCCCTGGAGACACAAGGAAGCCTCACTGGTGAGAGGTGGCTGCCTGTGGGCCGCACGGTTTCCCGGAAAGGCAGTGAGAGCATCTGGTACCTCCAGACACTGCAGAAACAGTGTCACAGAAACATCTCAGAGGCGTCACTTCTCTTTATCAAGATTTTAAAGTGATTTCAACATTAAAAAAAAAAAAAAACAAAAAACCACAATGTAAAGAATTTGAGTGTGGAGTGATGATCTTGCTTCCAGGTTAGGATCAGGCTCTTTCGCCCATTGTCTTTTTGATTTAAGCTGCAGGGACTCCTGGGATGGTGTCGCCCAGTGACACAATCCCAGTGAGGCCATTTCTGATCCCGAGAAAGCAGTCAGGAGTGGGTGGCTGCAGTTACAGTGCCATCGAGTCCTGCTAGTTCAAGTCATGAGTCCTGAATTCCCGGGGAGGAGCCACTAAAGAAATGCAGAAGAAGGAAATCCTCGCAATAAAGTGGGATGAGGTTCTGTGGTTGCTGCTGTTACGGGGGTGGGGTGCATGTTGGGGCCTGGGGGGTGAGGCTGAGGGCTCCCCCAGTCTGTCCCTCCCTGAGCCTGAGCTCTTGGTTCCCACCCAGCCCGTTGTTTCTTTCTTCTCTGGGAGCACCTGCACCCCCGGTTTGCGGCGTGTCCTGGGGTGAGTCACTGTGAGCCCCCAGGTTCCCATATGTAAAGGGTGGGTAACGCTCCCTCACCTGCTTCTGCACTAAGCCCTTACAAAGCCCTCAGACGGAGACTGCTGCTTTCATATCTTGCAGGCCATCAAACTGCCAGTGAGAAGGGTGCCCAGGTAACCTGCCCACGTCAGGACGGCCAGGAGATGGCGGAACCAGAATCTAAGCCCACTCCCATCTGACTTCAATGTCTGTGCTCCTGATGTTTGCACCGAGTCACCTCCTAAGACTTTCTGAAACTAGATCATATTCATTTATCTCTGAGAGAAATGCAAGCTTTAAAAAAGGAAATATTTACTATGGATATTTTACAATAGTTGCAAAACATGAAAGTTTTAAATAAAATATTCTTAACCACATCTTCAGGTTCCCTTACAGCTGCTATGTTTTGATGATTGCCCGTTAGAAAAATAGACTATGCTTTCTGTAGGTTTTAAAGGAATGGTGGTGAAATAGGGAGCATTCCTTGAGCACATCCTGCCTGCGGGCACGCCTCTGAGCACTGGACCAGGCCAGAAGAGCCAGGCTGCTTTGGGATCCCGGCACTGCCAATGGCAGGTGGGCTATGACCCAGGGAGAGAACATAGCCTTTTGCATTCTGTTGCCCCATTTGAAAATGGAGATGATAGTGGTGCCACCCTCAGTGTTATTTTGAGGATTTGAGTGTATCTCAGACGTTGTACCTGAAAAAATATAAATGCTCAGTAAATACGGTTGCCAGATAAAATGCAGGAAACCTATTTAAATTTAAGTTTTGGCTGGACAATGAATAGAATAATTTTTTTTTTTTAGTATGAGTATGTCTTTATATTTTATCTGCTAAATTTAGCAACCTCCTCAGTAAATGATCACTACAATTGCAAAAACTCCTTGTGACAAATATAGTAAATCTGTAAAGAAATAGGAACTTGCATTTATTTTTACTAAGCTCTGACTGGTTAAGATAACTGGGCAAGAGAAGATATATTCGACTAAACTTGCAGAAAGTAGAGTACAGAGATTCAAATTTGAAGTCCTATAGGACTGGAATGGCCAGAGGCGAACTGTAGAGAGCTTATGTAAAGAGTCCTGATTTCAAAAGTTCCTCAGAGACTTAAGTGGGCCCACAGACCCCTCCTGTGTCTCTGCATAAGCCAGCTCGTTATATCAGTTATAAATTGATTTCCAGAGAAATGTACCTTGGAGGTCCCTCTCCCACTTGAAATAGGACTGGCCAATCTAGATGTCCCCCAGGTGATGTTGACTCAAGTATAGCTCCATACATTGGAGAATCTATTCAAGAAAACAAGCAAAAGTATTTGTGACTGAGTGAGCTAATGCCAGCTGGTATCTTGAACAAATCCAGATCTCTAACATGCTAGTTTATTTCTTAGTGTAAAATGTGTGTTATTGATGGGCAGACAGCTCTCATTCAAGCAGTGACAGATGCAAGCTCTTTCCATTTTTGTGGCCTCGTTGTATTCAGTGTGTGGCTTCCAAGGTGCCTGGGATCATCTCCACCAAGACTAAGGAAGAGGAAAGAGCTTGGAGAACTGCACTTGGCTGGTTTTTATGGATCAGGCATGGAATTGGCTCCAACACGTTAGCTCACATTCCATTGGTTAGAACTGGGTTTCTCAACTATTAGTACAGGGTGAGTTTAGGGTTTTGGCACCATGGGCATTTGAGCTGGCCAAAGGCTAACCAGGGTTAGAACAAAGCCACAAAGCCTGTGAATGGTGTTTATTGTTGTGAGGGGCTGTCCTGTGCATTGTGGAATATGCAGCAGGATGCTCTCTGGCCTCAGAGACTCAGTAGCTTCCCATAGAACTCTCCTATCTCTTCCAGTTGTGACAACCACAGATGCCTCCTCTCCAGACATTGCTAGATGTCCCCTGGGAGGCAAAATTATCCTGGTTGAAAACCACTGTGTTAGAACTCGGTCACATGGCCACACCTAACTGCAAGGGAGGCTGGAAGATCTAGACGAGTAGTATGCCAGGAAGAAAATAAAAATGATTTAGAGGCTGCTGGCCAGTCACTTTCAGTGACCTTCAGCACACTGATTCCTCTGCAGCTATGGGGATACTTGTGCCTGTTTCTGATTGTTTCCTGTGTGAGGGGACATAGTGAGAACTGGAGGGGTGACATGTTGGACTTGGGTAGGGTGAAGAGGATTGGAAATGACCATCACGTTTGGCAGCATTGAATGTTTATGACTATTTGAATAGTTGTGACGAGGGGACAGTGAAGGAGGAAATAACCATTTTTGAATACCCTTTTACAATTTGCAAGGCACTTTTAAAGGTAAGAATGAGTTCCTAGACCATATTAGGGTGAGAATGGACATTGTTGGCTCCCATATCATTGGGCAGGGGCTTTGAGATCTTTGTCTTAAAAAGGCAGATTGGATTTGGAGTAGAAGGAGAAATGTAAAGACCTGTATCTGAGTGTGTTTGCAGAGGGGAATTGTCATTTGGAAGCACAAGAAAGGGGATGGTCCATTGGCATATATGGTACATTGTGTTTTCATATAATTATACCTGAATGAAAGCAAGAGGAAACGTGTAGGAAGCTGTTTATGTAGTTCTTTTAATAATGTTTACATGAGTTAATGAACATGCAAACGTATCTGATGAAAACATGTCAGTAGTGAAACAGCCTTGTGAAGAATCGGATCTTACCTCAGGCTGGAAAAAAGGACAGGTTTTCCAAGCTCACCAATTGCAGCCAGTGTGAATAGTAGCACAAATGATTTTGAGCTTTAAGACATCCATCCATCTGTCCATCCATCCATCCATCATCCATCCCCTCATCCATCCATCCATCCAGCCATCCATCCATCCATCACTCCATCTATCCACCCATCCATCCCTTCATCAATCTGTCCATCCATCCATCCATCCATCCTTCCTTCCTTCCTTCCATTCATCCCTTCATCCATCCATCCATCCATCCACTCATTCATCCCTTCATCCATCCATTCCTTCATCCACTTATCCCTTCATCTGCCCGTCTACCATTCATCTACCCCTTCATCCATCTATTCATTTATCCATCCATCCATCCATCCATCCTTCCATGTGTTCAGCAAGTATTTACTGAACACCTATTATGTGCCAAGCAGTCTCCTCAGAACTCAGGAAATACCAGTAAACAGAACCAACAAAAATCCCTCACCACCTAGATATTACATTTTGATGGAAAGAGACAAATAAAATTGGTGAGTGAATCACATAGGTTATTAGAAGGTGATAAAGGTGTAGGTGATAAAGGAGAAGTGCCAGGAGCAAGGATTGGGTACAGTTGTGAATAAGGTGGCACCAATAGGTTGCACGGAGAAGGTGACATTTGCACAGAGACTTGAAGAAAGCAAGGAGAGAACGTGACTATCTGGAGAACAGCATTTGTGGAAGAGGGGACAGCCAGTGCAAAAGTTCCAAGGCATGAGTGCCTGGTGCGTACACGGAACATCAAGGAGGCCAGCGTGGCAGAAATGCGGTGAGTCCAGGAAGAGAATAGCAGATAAGTGTAGGAAGGTAGTGGTGTACAGTGGGGTGGCGTGGGGGTGGAATTGTGGCAGACAGATGGTGTTGGTATAAGGCCTCTTGGCCGTTTTGTTTACCATGGCGCAACAGACCCGTGAGATCGGCAAAAACTAAAAAGTCTGACAACAGAAAATCTGGAAATCTGGTGAGGATGTGGAGCAGTGGGAATTCTCCAGTACTGCCAGGGGGCATGGGCATCGATCCCACCACACTGGAATGCAAAGGGGTATTCTGAGTAGAACTGAACATCTGCCCATCCTTGACCCCACAGTTCCAGCCATGGGCATGCAAATGAACGTGCACACGTGTTGCCTGCGGCATTTGTTTGTAATTATGAAAACATCTAAGTTTCCATATATGGGAGAGGGGATAACATGGGAGTGCCCTACAGTGGAGTTCTAGGGAGCAGTAAAAATAAATGGATTAGAGTTGTACACGTCAAAATGGATGAAGATAAAAGACATGAGGTTGAGAGAAGAACACCTGGCCACAGAAGTATATGTCCCGTATGACGCTGGTATATCCAGAGCGTTCAAACAAACAACACAACACTACTCATTGTTTCCAACGTAAGTATGAAAGTATGGAGCAGTGCAGAGGGCCAGGAGCGCTGGATCCAGATGGTTACTTCTCCAGGCAGGGGCCGAGGACCAGGGCTGGAGGTTTACTCCAGGAGCTTCAGTGGCGCATACTGAATGTGCTGTTTCTCGGGCTGGGGGACAGAGATGTGCATGCTGTTATACACTCTATACTGAAGTGATTATATAACAGTATGCTAATTTATCATGTAATAAATTTGACCAGAAAAAAAAAAACTATTCTGTGACAGCTTCCATGACTGGATTTCACGTTGTAGGTTTCTAAGCAGAGAATCCAAGAAAACCAAAGGAGCGGCGAAGGAAAGTCTCTCGGGTGTTCTGGGAGTGCCCCTTTGCTTGGGTTACTCTATTAGAGTCGAGAAAACCCGGGACTTGTGACAACTGGAGTCAACCTGGGATCCTGGCACCAAATGCCAGCAGAAACAATCCTGTCCCCGTTGGAAGATGAGATGAGGTTCTTTCTGGAACATGAGTGCAGTTCGAGAGCTTCAGGTAGGAAGCCCAGTCGTCCTTACCCTGCGTGGCCCACCAGGATCATGAATGGCGTCAGCCTCAGGGAGCTATGAGCCTGGTGTCTGAGACACAGCTTGGGCCTTTGTACTGCTGGAAGCACAGGGAACGCTGAAGGTTGATCAACTGCCTGGCAAAGACAAACTGGCATGGTCATCAGTGTGAGAACAAAGCCACAGACCTAGGAGTGGCATTTTGCAGATCTGCTGTTTTACAAAAAAAACTTGTGCTTGAATATGTATAACGTAAAATTTACCATTTAAGCCTCTGTGTGTGTGTGTGTGTGTGTTTGTTTTTTTTTTGAGACGGTGTCTCGCTCTGTGGCCCGGCTAGAGTGCAGTAGCTCACTGCAACCTTCACCTCCCAGGTTCGAGCGATCCACCTGCCTCAGCCTCCCAAAGTGCTGGGATTACAGGCATGAATCACCACGCCTGGCCCATTTAAGCCATTTTAAAATGGTCAATCAGTGGCATTAAGTGCATTCACATTGTGCCGCCATCACCACCATTGACCTCTGGAACTTTTTCATCTTCCCCAATGGAAACTCTGCCCATTCCCCTCCCTCGCAGCTCCTGGCAACCACCCTTCTACCTCCTGTCTCCACGAATGTGACTACTCTAGGTGCCTGTAAGCAGAGTCGTACAGGATTTGTTCTTTTGTGTCAGATCTGGGGTTCGTGTGCTGAAGGAAACTGCATGCAAACTTCTGTGTGAGTGGAGAGAG